ACAGTACGGCTAGTCCTTGACTTACGTTAGTTCATTTAGTGACCGTTTGAAGTCTCAACAGCGCTGAAAAAAATGAACTTATGACCGTTTTTCACAGTTACGAGCTTTGCAGCATCCCCATGTCCATGCGGTCAAAATTTCAGACGATTGGCAATGATTCATATGATGGTCGTGGTGTCCCTGGGTCCCTTTTGCGACCTTTTGAAGAGCAAACTCAAGCCAGATTCACTTAACAACCGTGTTACTACACTTGTGAACTGCGGTGATTCACTTGACAACTGTGGCAAGAAAGGTCGTAAAATGGGGCAAATTTAACCAATGCCTCATTTAGCAACAGAAATTTGGGGCTTGGTTGTGATCCTAAGTCAAGGACTGCCTGTATCTTGAATGCTTGGCAACTTGAACATGTGTGGATTTTAACCCCCATAATTCCTGTCAGCATAAATACATCGCATAGGGATACTTCTGCTACCATGTTAGTTAATACATGTAAGATGGTTGTTGATGTGAATCTGGCTTCCCCATTGATTTTGTTCATCAAAAGGTCACAAAAGGGGATCACACGACCTTGGGACACAAGTGTGAACCAGTTGCCAAGTTGGGTCATAAGTGTCAATCAGTTGCCAAGCTCCTGAATTTTGATCCCATGATAGTGAAGGTGCTTCAAAGGCGGTAACTGAAAAATTGTCATCAGTCACTTTTTTCAGTGTTGTAACTTTAACCAGTCACTAAGCGAATGCTTGTAAGTCGAGGACCGCCTGTGTCTTCTAGCAGTACCTTTCATCGTCAGGCCTTCAGTCGTGCCCGACTCCCGGATACTCTTTGCTGAACTGTAGAGTGGCTGAGGGTCAGAGATGACTGAATGGCTGACTTCGACGAAAGACATTGTTAGACGATATTAACGAACATGGTGTTGGAAGTATCCAGGGGTGGGTTGCTACAGTTTCACCCAGATTTCCAGAGAACCCGTAGCTAACATTATGGCCGGTTTGGAGAACCTCCAAATCCCACCCTTGGCTGTGCACCGCCCACCCCGCCATGGCCATCACACCCCGCCACGCCCCTCCCAGGAGTCTCTACACGGCTCATTTTGGATGTGAGGTAAATGCAGGGGCCTCCTGGAAGGTCTTCCGAGCCCGGAGGAGTCAATTGTCGTCTTCCCAGAGGCTCAAGGAAAGCATCCGGAGCCTGGGGAAGGGAAAAATGCCCCCCCCCCCCCCGACATGGTGCGGGAGGCTGACTAGGCCACGCCCACCCTGCAGAGAAATGCAGAGAAATGCTGAAATGTTTGAAGCCCACCCCTGGAAGTATCCCCACACGTTCTAGGCCATTGCAAGAGACCAGCAATGCAGCCCGTGTGGCTAGTAATCTGGGGAAAAATGTTTCAAATCACTTGAAACGCCACCTGAACAAATTCTAGCCAAAAATGCAATCCTAGGTTTCATTAACCAAGGGACGGAATCAAGACCACGTGAAGGACTAGTACTTGTCTATGGAAATTCTTAGTCATCCAAGTCCCAAAGATCCTTTTTTTCAAGAGGCAACTGGGCCTTCTAGTCTTCCTTCCTTCCTTCCTTCCTTCCTTCCTTCCTTCCTTCCTTCCTTCCTTCCTTCCTTCCTTTCCTTCCTTCCTTCCAAGACATTTTGCTTCTCCTCCAGTCAGAGCTGAAGAAGCTTCTTGGATGAGAAGCGAAACATCTTGAAAGAAAAAGCAGAAAGTCCAGTTGCCTCTTGAAGAAAAGCACCTTTGGGACTATAGTACCACTTTATAAAGCCTTAGTAAGGCCACACCTAGAATCACCATATTATAAAAAAAGATATGGAGGCTCTGGAAAGAGTGAAGGGGCAACAGAGATGATTAGGGGCTGGAGGCTAAATATATATATAAAGAAGGGTGGCTGGAATTGGGTATGTCCAGTGAAAGGAAGGACGGGGGATAGCCATGTTCCAATATTTGAAGGGCTCCTACAAAGACGACGGGGTGAATCTTATTTCCCCAAGCACCCAAAGGCAGGACAAGAAGCAATGGATGAAAACTAATCAAGGAGAGAAGCAACCTGGAGTAAAAAGGAGAAACTTTCTACCTGAGAATGATTAACCAGTGGAACAGCTTGCCTCCAAAACTTGTCAATGCTCCATCACTGGAGGTTTGGAAGAAGAGATTGGCCAGCCCCTTGCCTGGAATGGCATTAGGGTCTCTTGCTTGATCAGGGGTTGGACTAGAAGGCCTCCATAGTCCCTTCCAACTCTGTTATTCAGTTAGTTTCTAATGTTCTGTATTGACTCTTGAGATGAACATTAAAGAGGTTGTATTGAAATCTGTGTATGCCTTCCTTTCTTGATCTTGCTCAGCGGAGCTGAATTTTCCATTAAAAAAAAAAACCACACAATTATAATTAACCGCATGTTTGTGCTAATATGTCATCCTTGGTCTTCAGTTATGCCTTCAACTTTAATTTTGAACTTGTCCCAGTCTTTTTGCGAAGTGTCTTCAGTGTCTTGAACCTTAGAGCACGGGCCGCCTGCCCCCAACGAGAAAGAATAAAGTAGACAAAACATGGAAGCATAAAAAAATAAAGTGCATTGCAAATTTTTTCTTGTTGCAAATTAGTTACACATTAGTTACACTAATGTGTAACTAATTACACATTAGTTACAGGTGGGTTGCAGTTGTTTGTTCTTCTCTTGAGATCTACCTATAAGTTTTGCCCAAAGATATAAATTGGCACTGTATTGAAAGTACAGGTAGTCCTCGACTTACAACAGTTCATTTACTGGCCAAAGATACAACAGTTCTGAAAAAAGTAGCTTACCGCCGTTTTTCACACTTATGACCGTTGCAGCATGGCCACATGAACAAAATCCACACACTTGGCAATCGGCTGACTGATGCCTGCAGTGTCCACTTTTGCAACCTTCTGACAAGCAAAGTCAATTGGGGAGCCGGGATTCACTTAACAACCGTTTTATTAATTTAACAACTGCAGAGATTCACTGAACAACTGGCTAGAAAGGTGGTAAAGTGGGGCAAAATGTCTCCCTTACCAACAGAAATGTGGAGCTCAATTGTCATAAATTGAGGACTACCTGTAAACGTCATGTTCAGAGGGAGCACATGGCTTGTTTATACAGGTAGTCCTTGACTTAACAAGATTTCTCATTTAGCAATGGAAATGTTGGGTACGATTGTGGTCGTAGGTGGGGGACTACCTGCGTTTAAGTTTTGTGCCATGGACTACTGCAAGGTGCCCTACCTAGGGCTGCTCTTGAAGAGCGTACGGAAACTTCAACTGGTGCAAAACACAGCAGCGCAGGCAGTTGCATGCGTCTCTGGAAGGGCACATTTTGCACCGTGGTGGCGCAGTGGTTAGAATGCAGCATTGAAGGCTAGTTCTGCCAACTGCCAGAGTTTCGATTCTGACTGGCTCAAGGTTGATTCAGCTTTCCATCTTTCCGAGGTCAGTAAAAATGAGGACCCAGATTGTTGGACGGGGATATGCTGACTCTGTAAAACTGCTTAGAGAGGGCTGTGAAGCACCGTGAAGTGGTATAGAAGTCGAAGGGCTATTGCTAGTGGGGGCAGTAGAGAATTTAGGGTGTTGGTAAACTCCCGACAAGAAACAGCAGCCTTCTTGGAATTCATGCAGGGTATCGGGATCAGCTCTGCAGTTCTGGGCAATATGCTGACTCTGGAAACCACTCGGAGAGGGGTTAAAGCATGATTGAACGATATACAAGTCTTAAGTCAGGGGTGTCAAACTCAATTTCATTGAGGGCCGCATCAGGATTATGTTTGACCTCGGGGGAGAGATGGGCGTGGCCAGCTTGATGTCATACGTGTCAGGCACCTGTTGAGGTGAGTTTGACACCCTTGGTCCAAGTGCTATTGTTAGAAGGCTGCAACCAGCCACAAAACTGAGCCAGTTGCCAAGCACCTGAAATGCGGTTGTGATTGCGGGGATATGTGCAGCTGTCAGAAGGAACCAGGTCTTAAGTAGCTTGGGTGCGGGGTGGAGGGATCCTCCCTAACTTCCAACAATTAGCAATAGTAATACAGGTAGCCCTCGACTTATAACTACAACTGAGCCCAGAATTCATGTTAAGTGAGAAAGGTATTAAGATAAGCTTTGCCCCATTTCTCTTGCCGCAGTTGCTAAGTGAATCACTGCAGTTGTTAAATCAGTCACACGGTTGTTAAGTCAACATGGCTTTCCCCATTGACTTTGCTTGTCAAAAAATCGCAAAGGGGGAATCCCATAATCCTCGGGTCAGTGCAACCATCATAAATACGAGTTAGCTGCCAAGCTTTGAATGTAAAACATGTGACCATGGGGTGCTGCAACAGTTGTTAAGTGTGAAAAATGGACATTAGTCAATATTTTCAGTGCTGTTGTAACTTCAGTCACTAAACAAACTGTTGTTAAGTCGAGGACTCCCTGTACTACTTAGATTTATATACTACTCCACAGTGCTTTACAACACTCTTGAGTAGTTTACAATATCAGCATATTACTCCCTACAATCTGGGCCTTCATTTTACCTCAGAAAGACCGAAATCTGAATCAACCTTGAGCCGGTCAGGATCGAACTCCTGGCAATGAGCTGAATTAGCCTGCAATACTGCATTCCAACCACTGTGTCACCAGGGCTCCTTAACGACGGTTGCTAAGCGGCTGATCGTAAGGGAGGATTATCTGTACTTGGTATATTTCCACACAATGTGAGATGTAACCAAAGGTTTTCTTCCCTCACAATCCTACGTACGTCCGGCACCCCTGAGGAGAACTATGGCCATTCTCTTGTTATAAATTAAATTGCCGCGTTCTGAATCCTTGAACGTAAATGCGTATTGTGTAACCAGATGGCGGGGAAGGAAGATGGATGTTTAGTAACCACTAACTCAGTTGGAGGAAAAAAAGCGGGAAGTTAGAACAGCCATTTAAAAAAAAAAATATTGTAGGAAAGAGATGAGCAGATTCAGTTCCTCTGTTTCTCTTCAGGTAACGAAAAGAGGCCTTGGATGCAACTGAAGAGCTCCCAGACGGAAGGAGAGACGGAGACACTGACCGAATTCTCACCATGGAACGTTCCCGCAACGACGACCCTTCATGAACCAAGTTGCGAGGCCAGCGTGGAGCAGGGGAAGGTGCCGCTCGAGACAGAGCCCAGAGAGGCTTTGGAAAACTTTATAGCGCTCTGTAGTGAAACCTCTGAACTGCAGTCTATGGCAGACGAATCTTTGGCTTCAGACTATTGTCGGAAATACCACTACAAACCAGGATTCGTGATGACCTACCCGGGTGAGGAGGGCCCCACCGAATGTCCAACTTGGGTAGAAAACAGCCAACAAAAACTGTGTCCGAGAATTCAACCGGGGGAAAAGCCTTTCGGATGTCCCGAATGTGGGAAATGCTTCCGGCAGAAAGAACATTTAATGCACCATCAGCAACTCCACGGGGTTGAGATCCCTCATGGGTATTCCGATATTGGCAAAATATTCCAAGAAAGAGAACATTTGTTGAGAGGTCTCCGGGCGGGGAAGAGACTTTACGAATGTCCCGAGTGCGGGAAAAACTTTCCTACCCGCGAAACTTTGATAAGACACGTGAGAATCCACACGGGGGAGAGGCCCTTCGAATGCCCTCAGTGCGGCCAGTTCTTCAGACAGCGGGCTCACTTGATACGCCACCAGCGGATCCACACAGGAGAAAGGCCCTATGCGTGTCCCGAGTGTGGGAGAAGCTTCTCTCGGCGCGACAGCTTGATCGACCATCAAAGGAAGCACGTCCACGAGAAGCCTTATCAGTGTCCGGAGTGCGGGAAAAGCTTTTGCCACAAAGGGGCTCTGCTGAAGCACCAGCGCATCCACGTGACGACAATTGTCGTCTGAAAACCTCCGCATCCGGTACACAAAAACTCAAATTGCAACGGTTCTGTGTTTGTTCTTTGTTCTGATTAAACGTTATCTAGAGAACGCAAGTCTCTGATGCATTGTCTTAAGAAAATGGAAGTACTTTTTTTTTTAGCATTGTAATTAAGTTTTAATTGCTTAGGGAAGTTGGGCATTGCGTAACTAAAGCAGGCTAGATTTTTCCTTTGAATTTGACGGTGATCCAGCAAGGGTGATCCCCAAGGTGCTTTTTTCTAAGAGGCAAACTTTTTCCCAAGAGGCAGCCTCCTGAAAAAAGCACCTTTGTGAGAACCATGACTTGGATGACTGAGAATCCCCGTAGACCAGGGGTGTCAAACTCAAGGCTCCTAGGCCACATCCGGCCCGTGGAGTAGATTTGGCTTGTGGTCGTCTCCCAGCAGAAATGCAGCTGGGGAGGGCACACACAGCCCTCCCGAGCTCCGTTTTTGCTGGCAGAGGGTTGCAGGAGTCTGTCACAGCTGAAAACAGAGCTCGGGAACCTGCTTTCTCTTGCAGAGCACTCAGGCCGCCACAGGCACCCCTGACACGAGTGATGTTAAGCTGGCCACGCCCACCCCAGCCCTTTAATGGATTTAACTAGAAGCTAAGCAGCCATCTGCTGCGGAGGCTTTAATCTGATTCTTACTCTGGATAGAAGGTTGGCCTAAAATGATCCTTTTCAATCCTCGGAATCTTTTTTTTTTTTAAAATCTTCACAATCCCTGGGTGCATTGCAAGATTTACTTCCTAGGAAGGGATCAAACATCCCTAACAGGACTCAGATGATCCTGAACATTTGGATGTCAATTTGTCCATTTACACAGATTTCAGACCTAAGTCTGAATCCCCCACTTTACTGTAAATACTGCCCAGGTGAAGAGGGGGCAAACTATCGAGTCCTTGCTTCTGAGAAAAAGGAAGTTTAGTGACGTTAAAATGGAGTCAATTAAAGGAAGAATCAGCCGCCCCCCACCCCCACCCCAGGCTAGGAAATTATTATTTTATTATTTACTAGCTGTTACTGTTAACCCGGTGTTGCCCGAGTATTTGTTCCTCCCAATCCTGTATCAGACATTCACAAATGTCCGGACCAAACGTAATTTCTAATGTTGGATTTTCCCTCTTACCAGAGGGAGCCCCCTAGTGGAGTACTGTTGAAGCCATTACCGTGGCAACTTCATTGTGCTGTACAGAAGCCGCCATTTTAAGGCAGTACAGTAGAAGCCATTTTAAGGCCCAACAGGCTGTATCTTAACAGAACACACACCCTGAGGGGTGCTAGGGGTGTCTTACCTCGACAGTATTTGTTTCCAGAGTGTAAGTCATCTGTGTACCAAGCTTAGTTGAAATTGCTCGAGGCATTCCACCCATTTGAGTTGACTCAAGGTTTAAAACGTTTGCAGCCCATTTATAGTATGGAATCTTTTCTAAACCAGCCTAGTGCATTGTTCATAAAGGAAAGCAAGGTTCTTGAGGTTTCAAAGTTGTAAAAAAACATTTTATTATTGAGTGCACCAACGAACTTTCCCAAATCTGTCACAATTTATACAAGCAAACAGGATTGTGACTTACCTACTACATCGTAATTTTTTCCTCGTTTTCATTCAAATCTAATACCTTCTCAACCGTTTTTTAAAGGAATGCATAAGCTAGTAATCTCACCCAGGAAGAGCTCCCATAAACCAGGGTCACCCAACCTTGGCAACTTTTAAGATGGGAGCACCTCAACTCCCAGAATTCCATAGAATGTGGGATTCTGGGAGTTGAAGTCCACAGCTTTTAAAAGTTGTCAAGGTTGGGAGACTGCATTAAAGCGACTGAAAGTTACTTAGGAGGGGTTTGACCAACTTCCAAGGATCACAAAAAACAAAACTTTATTCAAACTATTCAGTCACGTGTCTTCCTGCTGTCCCTGAATATGCCTAACTTTGGCCATCAGGCAAAAAGTAGAACCTCCATGTAAAGAGGCAGGATACCCCTGCACATCGGCAGCTTCAGGGATCAGGGATAGTAGAAACCGACTTATAGACCTCATGGCTTTGTTGAATGGGTTTCCTGGAATCAGTCAGTTGTGAGATATAGACTGCTGGACTATGCATATTCCCCCAGATTTTTTTCCCCCCTTAAATCTTTCTATATTAATAGACATTTTAATCCTTTTCCCAACCTAAATTACAACCCTGAGATTTCCTGACAGACTCTCTTCCGTGTACTAACCAGATCCAACTCGGCTTAGTGTTTCACAATCTGCTTATTTACATTAAACCCACTAGAAACAAAACAAAGTTTTTTTTAAAAAAATGAGGAAGGCTCTTGATTCTTGTATTACGGTGAGGATGGGTTTTAAGAAAATTGAAGGAGGGGGGAGAGAAAAAAAAGACGTCGGGGAGACCTAAGAGAGGAAAACGTGTGTGGAGTTGGAAAACTTGAGTTCAGCGGCCGTCCTTCTTAAATCCCCATCCTCCTCCATCGTGTGCCTTTTCGCTGCTCCAAGATGGTTGACGGATGGATCGCAGCCGAAACCTTCCCAGAAAGAAGCTGCACTTTTAAAGAAAGTCTATTTCACTGCCCCAAAGTATTTTGTTTAAAAAAGCTGTTTTCCCTAATATTTTGCCCCTAACTGGTTCTCCGCCATTCCTCCTCTGGATTCCTTCAACTCTTTTCCGTTGTCAACTCAAACCCAATCAGCTCTTTGGGAGTGTTTCTTGTAGGACTTGGTGACGATGTCCAGGCTGTGAGCTGAGCCAGCAGGCACCAACCTGGGCTGGTTTGCTTGCTCTTCAGGTTTTTAGTTACTTGGGAGAAGTCACAAAGCTTTCGGCATTTGTGAAGAGCGTTTTGCACCCTGCCGAAAATGGCCGCCACCCTTGGCAGAAACAAACCCGGTTGCAGATTAAAATAAAGCTGAAGGAAGAAGTTGGAAGTCCTCTTTCTCCTCAGGCGAGGCTGTGGTACATCGAAAGAGAAAGGGCCGAAGGCCTTTGCTGAAGTAGAGCTGATAATAGTCCTATATCCATAATCCTCCAATGTCCCACTCGACTCCATACTAGGTGAAACCTGTGGAAAGATTTTATTTGGACTATATTTACCAAGAGGTGTTTGTTTTTTTTAAAAGAGTGAGGGATGCCTACTTGGTAACACACCTCAGGACAAGCCCTTCGTCATCTTAACTAGGCTTCAAGTGATCCAAAAATGTCAGGATGGAGAAAACCAATCTAAAAGCTTTGAGTTTTGGCTCAATAGTTAAGGTACAGTGTCCCTTTCGCCATTCTTTGTGGACAATAACAACAACACAACTCCTTCACTTCCAGTTCCTTACTTTTTTGGACTCCACTCTTTTCCTTAATTTTGATTAAACCGGGGGGGGGGAGGGGGGGAAAGCAAACCTAAAATATTTAACAATGTATATTTTAAATAGCCTTCCCAGCCATACCTGACATGGAACCGTGTGGAATCACTTTTAACGGGGGAACCTAAGATACAAAACATGAAGAGTCTACTGAGACGCAAATTGAATTCTTTAAAAGAAACACACCTATTTTGCCTTTTTTTAAAAAAACCACTATTGTAATTCACTGCTCGTCGGATAACTCTTTGCCTCTGCCCAAACCCTTGAAAAACGACTCTCCTTCTAAGCCTTTTCTCGAAGCAACGGTTGGAAGTCGGAGCGAGTTTTGAATTCGGTTGTGAGGCTCAGAAAATCAAGACTTCTTGAGGGACTATGTGAACTCCCTTCCCACGAAGGAGTGCAGAATGAGAGGGTTATGCAACACAGAAGGGGACGAAAACTGGAGGGGGGGGGGAGGAAATGGATGCAGTATCTCAAATACTGTTCTGCTATTATTGGCTGATAGCTGAGAACGGACTTCCCACCCTACAATGTCTCCAGAGAATATCTCTGAAGTTTCCAAATGCTCAAAAGGACGTCAACACCCAAGACTGGTTTTGGGGGGGGGGGGGAGGGGAGGAAGAGGATTTGTAAGAAGACAGTAGAGTCAGCAGCTGGCGCCCCCCACAGGTTATTGTTGCTGGGTGCTTGATCTGCAGAAATCAAGCAGCGGCATCTACTTGTTCGAAGGTTGCTCATCTCTGCGGATCAGACCGTGCTCGCAGGAAGATTGACAAGTCGGCTTTCTCGGTTGCCCGAAGGGAGGGGTCCGTCGGGAGAGAGGTCCCATGTGGTTGTGAAGTGCTGTCTGTCTTCTTTCACGAGCGATGTTCACTGTGCAAGCACGTGCGTTAAATCAAACTGGGGAGAGAGAGAGAGAAATGTAGAGAGAAACAGAAACAAATATAGAGAAAGGGAGAGGAGAAAGAGAGAAGAGAGAAAGAAATAGAGGGGAGAGTGAAATAGAAATAGAGAAATAGAGGAGAAAGAAATATGGAAAGAAATAGAGAGAGAGAAATAGAGGAGAGAGAAATAGAGGGGGAGAAATATAGAGAGAAATAAAGGAGAAAGAAATAGGAGAGAGAAATAGGGGGGACAGAAATAGAGAGAGGAAAAAGAGAAATAGAGAGGAGAGAGAAATAGAGGAGAAAGAAATATAGAGAGAAAGAGGAGAAAGAGAAATAGAGAGGAGAGAGAAATAGAGGGAGGAGAGAAATATAGAGAGAAATAGAGGGGAAAGAGAAATAGAAGGGGGGAGAGAAATATAGAAAGAGAGGAGAAAGAAATAGAGAGGAGAGAGAAATAGAGAGAGAAAGAAATAGATAGGAGAGAGAGAAACAGGGGGGGAGAAATATACAGGAGAGAAATAGAGGGGGGAGAAATAGAGAGAAAGGGAAATAGAAAGGAGAGGAGAATTAGGAGGGGGAGAGAGAAATATAGAAATATAGAGAGAAAGAGGAGAAAGAGAGAGGAGGGAGAGAGAAATAGAAGGGGGAGACAGAAATATAGAAAGAGAAGAAAGAGAAATAGGAGAGAGAAGTAGAAGGGGGGGAGAGAAATATAGACAGAAATAGAGGGGAGAGAGAAATAGAGAGAAATAAAGGAGAGGGAAAGTGAGATAGAGGGAATAAAGCAGCAAAATCAGATACAGGTAGTCCTCGATTTACAACAGTTC